TTGGGGAGCCCTTAATTTTCGGGAGTTAGAAAAGAGCGGGGTGTGTTTGTTTTTTTTTGTCCCCAGGTTTTTTTGGGGGGGGGTTTTCACCCAGGTGGGGGGGTTAATTTTGGAGCAGGGCATAAGCAACAGGGGGGTCCCATAGGTCCCAGGAAGGGATTTTTGGCACCCCCCCTCCTTTGTTGGGAGTGGTTTTGCGGGGGGGGTTTTTAGTTGTTGGATTAGGGGGAAACGTTTGATTTCATCCCCCCCCCGTGATGGGTCCCGTGGGAACAAGGTTTCGTCCTTTGGGGGAGGCATGGTCAATGGGCCAACAATTATGGCATGCAAAACATAAGCACGTTCCTCCCCCCGGCCACACAGGGATCTTTGGTCAATAGTCCAACAATTAAGGCATGAAAAAGATGCCCCCCCCCCCCCCGCGCGCGCGCTAAACACGCGCTTGGTGTGTGCCCCCTCCCCGCGGCGTGCGTAACCGACATCAGCTGGATCGGAGCAGCAAGATCGCGAGGCACTGCTGGCGCTGTACTGGTCCAGCGGGGGTCCGCGATGGACCCGCAATCAGGGGTGGGCTAGCAACGACGCGGACATGGGGAGCTGGCACGGGGTGACGTGCAAGAACGGGAGGGTCGTGCGGCTCGATCTCAACAGGAACGGGTTGGTCGGTGAGCAAGACGGCCGCCTTTTTTTTTTGTTTTATGTGGTTGTGGTCGCAACGTGTGTAGAAAAAAAACGGTCGTAGTTGACTTTGTTTTTTTCTTCGTAAGAAAAGGCTCGATCTCAACATGAACGGCTTGGTCGATAAGTAGGACGGCCGCCTTTTTTTTTTCTTACATAAAAAAATGGTTGGAACGTGGGTAGAAAAAAGGTTTTTGTAAAGAGCTTGTTTTTTTGCTTCGTAGGTGAAATGACCTTATCGCGAGTCGGAACGCAGACGGTGTAGCGGTAGTGGAGTATAGGAGTGATGGGACGGTGTTATCTAGTGACAGACAGACAGGCAGGCAGAAAGACAGAGGCAGGCGAAGACGTGAATACGTTAGTAGTTGCAAGTGACCGAGGCACGAGGATGAGCATGAACAAAGGGTAGAATCGAAGACCAGAGATCGAATACCGTAAGGTTGCGGGTCAGCGCACAGAGGTGTGATGGATTTTCAAAGCGTAATTTCTCCACAACCAGGAGGGTGCGAGCGCCAACTGATGCTTCTCAGGAAAGCTCTCGATGAGATATTTCCAAAACCGCCCTCTTCGACAGCAGCAGTGGTATTCTAACCTCCTGGTTGCGGCGAAGTTACGCTTTGAAAATATCTCGCACCCCTGTGCGCTGACTCACAACCTTACGGTATGTACAGAGACGGCCTCGAGCAAGGACGAAATAACACGTATTCTAACCTCCTGGTTGCGGCGAAGTTACGCTTTGAAAATATCTCGCACCCCTGTGCGCTGACTCGCAACCTTACGGTATGTACAGAGACGGCCTCGAGCGAGGACGAAATAACGAGTCCGGTAGACGTACTGGCTGTAGGAAGAAAATGCCTCCATGTGGTGTGAGACCCTGACCAGCGACGTGTCTTGCTTCTTTCGACGATACTAAAGGCACAATCCCTGCTGCGCTTGGAGGCCTTGCCAACGTCGTCTACCTGCGCATGAGCTTCAACAGCTTGACTGGTAAGATATTTTGCTTCTGCAGCAGTGGTCCCGGAATAATGCCTGTTGAATATTGCCGGCTGCCCTGTTTAACGCAGATGAAACCGCGTTGCACAGATGGAATATTCGAGTTGTTTCATACCGATGATTTCTGGCATTATATGGGGACCACTACTGTATTATGTATCAGGTGCGTCTATTTGGCTTTCTTGAAGCGTGTGAGTCGGTTAAGGCCTCGCCTTTTTGTTTTTTTTCGACTCCCCCTTCAGCGTTGGAAGAATCGTGCAGTGTGATACTTCATGGCTAGCCCGCCTTCAATCCTTCTCTTGGAAGAGAGAAGAGGCCCAGAAAACTAGGCAAGTTGTCATTTGAATTTTGTTTCCGCGATGAGGATATACACCCACTGCCCCGTCATAAACGTATCGCGATGACAGGGGGCAAGATAGATACAGTGGGGGGGGGGGGGGGGGGGGGGGGG